CGGCGACTCACGCGACAAGAAGTGAGTGGTAAAGCTCACGCGCTGGTCGGTGGTCATCCATGGCGGCTGTTGGTAGGAGCATTAGGGTAAAACCCTATTTGTTGGGAGATTTGGACCGTTGGATCTCACACAGTTCCAACGGTTGAGAGCTAGCGGCGCTGAGACAAAAGGGAGAAACCCTAGACCAGTTTGGGCTCCAGAATGGGTCTGCCTAATGTGTTCTGGGCCGATTGGGTGACTTGTTGGGCTCTAGGTTTACTTGTAACTGGGCCCGATTTTGGGCTGTTGTATTTGGATATTGGGTTTGACTGTTATGTAAAATTTAATTATTTAATAATAATAATAATAATAATTATTATTATTATTATTATAATCTGGACGAAAACCCTATCTACATTACGTTTTAATTTCATTTAGGTCGCCAACTACTAAACAATTAATGGTGATTCTGACATATCACCATAAGATAATACCATGTCATCATTGAACAAAATTTTAAAAAACCACGTTGCTAGTTTTGTTACCTTTTTAACAGTGTGATTTTGAAAAATAATATTTGGATAATCAAAATGAAAACAAATTGATAATTGAAATATTAAATGTAGTTTATGGTTACTTTTATGGACAAATGATGAGTCCCGGCATGCCATGTATACATTATTTTATTTCTCTGTATGGACGACGACTAAATCTCTTTGACAACTCTCCCACTACAAAAAGAGTAAATTATACTATTGACCAACTAACTATTAGTCCTTTTCATTTTGATTAATATTTTTTTAAATTTTATCAATCATATAACCTAATTATTTAAATACATTTTTGACGGAAGTGTTGACATGACAACTAATAAAATTGATATAGTTACACATTTGGTCACTCTTACTTATATATTCTATCAATTTAGTACATGTCACGTGATTAGAGGATTAAATTTATTTAAATTTACTTTAATTTAATAGATTTATTTACATGTCACCCTCTGGTGGAAAGAAAATTACAGCGCTAAATGATGAGTGTTGTGTGTATGAGTGTACTAAAATATGACACACGAACTGTGCAAGTATACACAATCAAACAATTAATATATTAGTGAGTGAGTATCATGTCCACAAGGATTGGATGAATTTCCAAGTTAAGTTAATGCACTAAAACTATATACTCTAATGTATAGCTATATTGTGGTATGAACAATTGATGGAATGTTGTGGCAAAATAGCAAGTATGAAGGTGAAATGTTGTGGCAAACAATGAAGTAAAAGTTAAAGAATACTATAGCAATTAAATTGAGAATCTGGGTATGAAATAAGATAACCTGACAACCTCGCACAAACGAGCTATAATGGGGGATAAATGGTAGGTCTACTAAAGAATTTTATGCCTTGTCTTCTAGAATGGTTCATGTGTTCCATGCATAAACTGCTCGACAGGGTTTGCTAAAAATGTTCATATGCTATTTCTAGTAAGGAACTTGATAGTAAAATGCTATCGCAATACCTCTCAACATAAGCAACAGTAAGATCCTATCGACTAAGTCATACTTCTTTTAGTGGTTGAAATCATCTCCTTATCTATAAGGTGGATTAGGGCTTTGCTTCCCAGCTCATCCCCATTGCTCATATTGATCTCACTTTCGATATTAGGCATCAAACTTATAAAATGGCTAACTCTCGAAAGCTCTTACATTTCTAAGTAAATAAATACAATGAGCAAAGCAAGTATATAACATGAAAATATAAAACTATTCATTTCAACAAACAAAAAATCATCCAAAGCAAACCTACACCAAATAAGTTAGTTTATAGTGGGGTACAAATCATCCATAAGAATAATTCGTTCCATTACAAAAGCCACAAGTAAATATGAGTGAAAAACAACAAAGGAGAAGAGAACTCCCAAGTGTTGTCGTGAGCTTTCTTGAACCACCATGAACTGCCTAAGTAAGCTAACTTCTCTTAAAGGCCTAGCGTGCTATCTCCCCTTGAAGCTTTGCTATAGAGGACACCATGAAAGGAGGAAGAAAAGAAAATAAAAAGGAGAATTTTGTTGTAGCCGCCTTTCTTTTCTCTCTTTTCTCATATTCCCAAAAGCTCTCTTTAAAATGTAGGACATCCTTATCTATTTATACTAAGGGGATCCCTAGGTTTTTTTCCCAACATTCCCTTTGTACCTTAAGTATCATTCCCTTCACGTGAAAGGGTAGGCATGGCTTACAGTGGGGCTCACAAGGGCAGCTGACAGAGGGAATCACGTGTGGGCAGGACAACTGACAACTCTCATAAAAATATCTTCTTCCTTTTTGTTATTTTCTGCCTAAAAATATCATCCAGAATGTTGTAGCATTTCTCCAAGTCTCTTCATCCAGAATGCTACAACAAATCACCGCTTCTCCTTTATCCCTATTCACCTACACATCAGCACAAGAACACAACCTTTCCTATTAAGCAACATAGGTTTTTTCAAATAAAAATGTTGCAGCAAAACGACACCACCATATGCAACTACATGCAACTAAATGTGCTTTTAGACAACTAATAATCTAAATAAAAAGGCTCAAAACATAGTATTTTTATGAGGCTATTAGTGAGAGCATGGGGACTTAAACCTGTCATTTGGGCTAGAAAGGAAAAGATCAATCACTGGGCCAAGTTGATTGTTTGGTTTAAAGTAGACTATATGTAGTATATATTTTATATCTTAGTGTAATCTTAAATTCATAATATTATATATAATTTAAATTCACATGTTAAATTTAATTCACGTATTAATATTAAAAAATATATTTTAATATTATCTTAACTTAAATTTTTTTTTATTCTTATCTTAAATTTTAAAAATATATTTTATTTTTATCTTGACTTATTACATATATTATATTCTTAACTATAATTATTAAATATATTCTATCATTACCTTAAATTATTAAATTATTATATATTATTATTATTTTAAATTAAAAAATATATATTTTATTTTAATTCTAAATTTGAAATATACATTTTATTTTTATCTTAACTAAAAATGTATATTTTATTTTTACCTTAATTTTAAAATATAATAAGAATAAAATATAAATATTTAAGTTAAGGTAAAAATAAAATATATTTTTAAGTTAAGATAAGATTAAAATCTATTTTTTTATTTTAGTTAAGATAATAATAAAATATATTTTTAATATTAAAATGTAAATTTAAGTTAATATATATAATATTAAGAGTTTAAGATTACACAAAGATATAAGATACATATATACACTATATGTAGTCTACTTTAAACAAAGCAATGAACTTGGTCTAGTGACTAAGCTTCTCCCCTCCCAACCAAATGACTTGTGCTATTTGGTGGAAAATAAATCTATTAAATTAAAGTAAATTCAAATAAATTTAATCTTCTAATTGAACGGTAACACGTGACACCATCCGATTGTAATATTAATTTAATTTTATTAAAATTAAGAGCAAATTGATAAGTAATAATGATCAAATATGTAATTATACTAATCTTATTAACTATCACGTTAGTAGAAGTGGGTATATGGGCTAAGGCCCACGGGCTACCCGTTTAACCATCGATCCGTGCGGGTTTTGGACATAAAAAACTGAAGCTCGTTTAAATTGCGGGCTTTTTAGCCCGGACCGTTAAACCCGCGGGTTTAATGGGTATAACCGCGAGTAGCCCGCGAAGCCCGCAATAGCCCGCTTAATTTAAAATTTATAAAATTTTAGAGAAAATAAACTTAAAGAATTTTATAGAAAAAAATAAATTACCTATAAATATGATGTTACTTATAACCATTGTAGTTCTTAAATTTATTAGGGCATTTGTCTTTGGTATTAAAGATTTATATAGTAGTTTAGTCTTATAAAATTTAAATCATTTTAAAAATTTAAAGATTTATATAGTATTTCATTTACAATGTATCAATTTTTTTTTTCATTTTAAAAAAATAAAAATTAAAAGATTTATATAGTATTTTAGTCTTATAAAATTTACATCATTATCACTTTGGTATTTAAATATTTTTTTATTTAATTTTGACCTTTATTTTTTCATGAAGTATGCTATCCATTTCGTTATTTAATTATAAAAAGTCACGTGATATTCCAATAATATATCACATGACACGTAATATTTGGATTAAAAATAAGAAAGAAAAGTAAAAAAAAATTGAAAACATATTTTTCAACTTTTAAAGGTTTTTACAAAAGAAAATTTGTTAGATTTATATAATGTTTGACTTTGTTGAATTTTTCTGTTTGAATTTCTTCTTGCAAACACTTCTATTTCTTCATATTATAGCATTGAATAATCATGTTTTATAAAAGTATAATGTGGTTATTGTTATATTTGTTTTTCAATTTGGTGATACAAGTGAATATTGTTTTTTTTTAATTTGAGTTTAAGTAATTATATCGTTATATATATATATATTAATGATTAAAAAAATTAAAAAAATATTATTTTATAATCATTTCCGTCTATTTAAAATAAAATTTAAATATTATTTATTTTTTTAACGGTGCTACATTCCTTTTCAAGTTACTGGATCATTTTTAAAGGTGTAGCAAGTTAGAACATTATTTTTTATTGCATTTAAAGCATTTAAAATTATTTTTATTTAACGAGTCGCAGGTAAACCCGTTTAACCCGCGAGTTAAATGGATGGGCCGCGGGCCTTAGAATTCAAAATCGTTTATGATTGCGGGCTTTTTAAACCGCTCCTATGTTAACAGTAGATGGTTTGATGGAATGCAATTAAATAGTTTGATGATCTGCTTTATAAAATTTAAAAAATGATGGTCAAAATGAAAATAGACAATAATTAAGTGATCAATAATATAGTTTACCCAATAAATAAAACCCCTTCGCATTCTTTTTCCAGCCGTCGGATACAGAACAAAAAGTAAATCATGAATAGTTGCAGGTCAACTGGATCACTCACCAAACCGTTAAAAAAAAAACCCCACCTTTATATTCGTGTCACATCTTCGGCATCTTCTTTGCTTCCTCTCTTCTCTCCCACACCATCCAATATTTTCACAATCTATCTCTCTTTGATTTCCCATTTTCAATTCCCAGAGGAAAACAAATCATTCGCTTTAATTCTCTACAGCATTTTTAATTTAGCCATGGCAGGAACTGGGGTTGTTGCTGTTTATGGTAACGGCGCAATGACCGAAACCCACACCAAATCCCCTTTCTCGGTAAAAGTGGGGCTAGTCCAGATGCTCCGGGGAGGGGTCATAATGGATGTGGTCACTCCCGGACAAGCACGTATCGCTGAAGAAGCCGGAGCATGTGCCGTCATGGCTCTCGAACGAGTCCCCGCTGATATCCGAACCCAAGGTGGCGTCGCTCGAATGAGTGACCCACAACTCATCAAAGAAATCAAGCAAGCTGTTACCATCCCCGTCATGGCCAAGGCCCGTATTGGTCATTTCGTTGAAGCCCAGATCCTGGAAGCCATCGGCATCGATTACGTCGACGAGAGCGAAGTTCTTACCCCCGCCGACGAAGAAAACCATATCAACAAACATAACTTTCGGGTCCCATTCGTTTGCGGGTGTCGAAATTTGGGGGAAGCGCTTCGGAGGATCCGGGAGGGAGCTGCTATGATTAGAACCAAAGGGGAAGCTGGGACCGGCAACATCGTCGAAGCCGTTAGGCACGTGAGATCCGTGATGGGAGACATTAGGGTGCTTAGGAACATGGATGATGATGAGGTTTTCACCTTTGCCAAGAAAATCCTGTCCCCCTATGATTTGGTCATGCAGACGAAGCAGCTGGGAAGGCTGCCGGTGGTCCACTTCGCCGCCGGTGGAGTAGCGACGCCGGCCGATGCTGCACTGATGATGCAGTTGGGTTGTGATGGAGTGTTTGTGGGGTCTGGGGTTTTCAAGAGCGGTGACCCGGCTAGACGTGCCCGGGCCATTGTTCAGGCCGTCACTCATTACAGTGATCCTGAGGTGCTTGCGGAAGTTAGCTGTGGTCTTGGTGAGGCTATGGTTGGTATTAATTTGAATGATAAGAATGTGGAGAGGTTCGCTGCCCGCTCTGATTAGTATATTTCAAGCTTCTTTGGGGGTGAGAGATTCATTTTCTTTTATCATTCTTTTTAATTAACATTAACATTAAACTTTGATTATATCTTGTGCATTTGATTTTGTGGTTGAATAATTTACTCTAGTAATGAATTTTCTGGTGTTCTTTTATTGACTTTTTTTATCAAGGGTTTGATCCCTGTACTATTAAATGTAGGTAATAAGAAAAGTAGTCTGCTTAGTGATAAGTTGAAGAATACTTGGCTTTCAGGTTCTCTTGATATTGTTTAAGCATTCATCTCTTTGGTCTACCCCAATTTCCAATTTTTTTAAATATAGTTTGATGATGCTTTCGATTGAATCATTTTGATTATGGTAAGTGTTTTACATTAGTTGCTGTTTGATTCTATGTTTAGTATTCATTTGTTGTAAACTTAAAGTAATTTGGAAGTAGTGACTGATAGCTAAAAGCAGATATATCATAACATGCTTCCAAAGTGATACTAGTATAGTTTGATCTTAGAAATGAGTTTTTGAAGAACACTTGACTTTTCCTGTTTCATAATTTCCAATGTTCAACAGAATTTGATGATTATTTGGACTGCATCTTTCTGATCATGCTTTATGGTAAGACATTCAGATTAGTTGTAGCTTGATGCCGTGTCGTCGAAGTAGGGATTTATATTGAGAAGCGGACACTGTAATAACATGCTTTGGTGGTGATACGAGTATAATAGAACTTAAAGATGTGAAGTTATTTGTTTGTTCCTACAATTTAGCCTCCTGATTGCCTTGGACTCCTTGCAGGAATCATTTGATCATGCAACTACAATCACTTGCACTCTTTCCGGTTTATACGAGTTAAGTCTTTCTTACAGAGGGGTGTCATTTTATGTCATAATGTTGGTCAAGTGAAATTGTTTTCTAAAATTAGATCTCTAAGATTGCGAGGAACTGAATAACTCATCTTTGCATTCTGCAACTATAGTAAATGTAACCTTTTTATCAGTTAGGCCCTGGAGAAACTTGACCTGCATTTTCAGGTGGTATTGGTGTGTGTGGCTGTGCTGGTTATCAAAGTGTCTTTTGTTTCACATTCGGCTGCATTCTGCAATTTGCGTGTAGGCCATTTATCTGGCAGATTGGATGTTCATATGCATGATAATTTAACCCTATGGGAAACATTTGATGATGATGATGATGGCAAATTTTGAACCAACAGAAGTTTTCTGTGCTGGCCTAATTATGACATGTTGCCAATAAAAGGCACATGGATTCAATAATAATAAAACTACCCAACTCATTTACTGTAAAGGAAAAACAAAAAACTCACAAGGTAAATCCTACACCCCCAAACTGTAAATTTATTTTTAAGATTCAATTTGGTATGTAAAATACTTTTATTCGATTAGATATCAGAATTTGATTTTTTTCAAAGTAGTATTTAAATTTTGATTTTTTTTTAAAAATTTGATATTAATTATATATAATTTATATGAAGTTTGAACCATGAGATCGTAGTTCAAGTATTAATTCGAATAAAAAATCAAATTCAGTACGTATTAAACAAGAACATTAAATACCTAATTGAACAAAAATATTAAATTTAAATATAACTTAAATACCAATTTTTACCATATGAAAAATCAAAATATGCATTGAATATCAAGTGTTGGAATTGTAAAAATAATGATGTATTGCAAAAATTTTATTTAGGAAAAATTTATCTCACGCGCTCGTGATTTTCAAAGGAGAATCATAGACAATTTTAATCCCAAAAAAAATATACTGATAAAATTTGTTTTTCTTAACAGCATGAAGTAATTATATGATAGTATATATTTATATTTTTAAGTTACTAATGACATATATATATTCTGCAGACGTAATTATTCAAACACATAACCTCTACAAATAAAACATCATTTTTGATAAATTATGGAACTAACACCTAAAATAGAAGTCTTAAATTGTTATATCTCAACAATGACTACTACCAATAGTAAATAAACTCTTTATATATTGTGAACAAGTATCCACCTTAAAATCTTAATTTTATTTATTAATTTTTTATATTATTAATTATGTTCATCTTAAAATTTTATTTGTATCTATCATATACAAAAAAACCTATATATATATATATATCATATCTTAAAATTATTTCTAAATTCACCACTAACTATTATAATATCATTTTAGCTATAAGCCGAGAAACGAATGTAAGTTGTAATTTATTCGGTCAAGTAGCATAATTTAATGCTGAGGTCTCATGTTTCCAAAACCTTCACCGACAATATATTTCTTATTTTCTTATTAATTTTAATAGTTAAAAATAAATTATTTATTTATACATATTAAATATAAAATTAAAATTTACACATATAATGTAACTTTAAAAATTGATATTTAATTTTTTTTTTCGAAATCTAGATACCAAAAACTAAATTTTGAATGTTTTGGAATAGGTTAGAATGCATTAATTGTGAAATCGAAACCTTTAATGGGCATTAATACAAAATTTAGTAGAAACCTAATGAACAACCGGAGTAGATTAGCCTAGGGAATGCCATCTTCCCCATGCTCCCTTCTTTCTTTTTCACAATTCATTCATTCATCTATTCATCTATTCTTTGTTATCTTATCTTCAATCATCAAGACATAAATTCGTACTAAGTCTTAATTTTGTTTGATTTAGATCTTACTTTCAATTACTCATCCTTAAGTTAAGAACTTGATGAAAAGGGTTATTTAGAACACGAATGGTTTGGCATAAAGCAAGTAAAGATGCTTGTAGCGATACATGCTTATGTTTTTATTTTAAGCGTTAAAATATGCTCAAAGTTCAATTATAATGATATACTTCGTTTATCTTGTTTTTTTATTAATATAAGACATTTCCATTATTATTTTGATTTTTTTATCGTGCATTCTAATAAACTATTTTATAACAAAGTCTTAAAAAATAATATGATTATTCTTAAAAGGTTCTTAGAATAGTATGATTGTGGAATTGGACAACAATAATTGTAACACACCTATTTCGTATACAGTCCCGTATACGAGCTAGAGATATCACATCAACCTGTAAAACATATATTGTTCGATTTTCAGTAAAACTTTTGGTTCATTCAAAATCGACCATTATAATTAAAAACACAATAATAATAAATCTCATTGAAAACTGTAATATATAATTTATATTTACGAAATAATAATACTATTCAGATTTAAATTGTAAAAACTACTATTTACCATATTAATTTTACTATATTTTAACGGTACTATTTTTTACATTACAAAACCATATTTAAAACATATATCAAAGCAGTTAAACCCTCTTTAATGTACACGCCACAAACAGATTAAATAACAAATCAGGATGTCCTTACCGATCCTGGTGGTAGACCTAACTTCTCGAAAATGATGCTAATACGTTTTCTACTTTACTCGTTCGTTTGTACACACGTGTGAAACTCTCACATGCTAAGTTTTTACTTAGTGAGGCAACGAAATAAAATAAAATATTTTAATAGATAAAACAAACCATATCGTATAGAAGCATTATTAAATCATTATATGAAACATCAAATTAAAACTCGTAATAAAAATTTACTATAGAAATATGTAAATCGGACTGTACTGCATCATTATAAATTTATATTTTTCTGTTTCATTTTGGATCATTGTAACACTGTACCTTTCTTTTCTAAATCAGATCATTTCAAATTCATACTTTTCTTATTCAGATCAAACTATTGCAAAACTATACTTTTCTAAATTAGATCAGATAATCGTTTCAATTCAGATCATATCCCACTGTACTATCATGAGAATACGTGGTACGCGAGTTAGATAATGAGTGAGCGAGCTATATACAAATTTGTTGTCAGAACAGATTGCACCAAGTCACTCCACCTCGTGCATCACTAAGATACGTCGAGTCATATCAGGAGTGACCCGCCTTGGTGCCATATAACATACATATAGAGTCAGATAGATCGCACTGGATCACTCCACCTCATGCACCACTAGGGTATGCCGAGTCAGACCACGAGTGACCCATCTTGGTGGTAGATCCGAAACATATACATATTCACTCCACCTCATGTCATGCCATTGTACCACTAACCCTCATTCTCATACAATGAACTTTATTTAAAATCATATACTAATTTGCATAAAAAAATTCAGACAATTGAATATAAAACTATTCTCGTGAAAATCAGGTTTTTGGGCCATTCATACCCAAAAATATTTAAATGCTATGAAATAAAAGAATAGTAAATTGTACTTATTCTAAATATGGTTTAAAAACATTTTATTTCATATCTATTGAGGTTGACTCGTCGTAATTCTCCATCGTATTATTTTTGATAAAAAGTTAGTTGCACTCACATGTTGCCTCCTTACGCTTTAATTGCTATCTTCACTGTACTCTTGAACTTAATTCTTTTTTTGGTTCGTTTTGTATTTGTTTTCGATCACGATCTGCACGACATCAATTTCCCAACATAAACAATTTTGAATATGAATTAGTAATTTAACTAATATAATAATCATTTATATTCAAACAACATTTAAAAAAAACAATCGAAACATATTAAAAACTAATTTCTGTCCCTTAATCTTGTGAAACTTCCACATTAATCCAAATTCAATATTCTAACATTCTAAATATAATTTCCAGTATTGTATCCCAACTTTCCAAAGCTTGCATCTTAATCCTTTAAATTTTCCAAACTTTGTAAAATGTCTTTAACAACTTCACCATCTCACCATCAACTTCCTTCAACTTACAATTGAGTTCCTAGACTTATAAACTCTTCCAAATTAGTCCAATTTACTGTTCTGATATAAAATTTCTACATAGGACCTGCTTCTCAATAATTGTACATTAACCCTTTAAGTTGCCATACTATGCAAAAAGGTCCCTCAAGGTCTAACAAAATTCCAATTTGGTTCCAAACATCATTTCAAGTACCTAGAACCAATCCTACATTCAATCTAAACCGATAGGAAATTTTTACAAAATTTTCTCCCTTGGCCGAAACTTTGCAATAATTTCCATAATGGTCTCTATTTTGATTCAATCACAAATTAACTCTTAATACACCATTTCTAATCCATTCCAATCAAATTCAAAGCAAAACAAATCAAATTCAACCAAGTTCCTAACATACCCATCAATGGCCAAATCACCAAACCAATCCCTCCAACAATTTTTGTTCAACTTTCATGCTTAATTATAACTCTACAACACTCCGAATATCAAAATCAAATTTAATTTCATCAAATTCTCAACTCCCCTTCATCCACCAAATTCACAACTTTCACCATTCAAGCATGAAACCAAGAAATAATTACACCAAATTGTAGAGAATTTAATGGGAATTATTTTTATATTTCACACTTTAGTCCAAAATCTAATTAAAATGGACCAAAATTGAAGAAAAAGCAAACTTACCCTTTGGCTATGGAGGTTCGGTAGTTTTCTGGAGGAGAAAGGAGATTTTCTACACATTCCTAACCAAATATCTCCTAATTAGCCTTTAAAAATCAATTAAAAAATAATCTTTTAATCATTTTGAGCCAAAAGACTAAATTGCCATTAATGAATTCCTAGAATTACACCCATGCCACTCCATTATCTTTACTTTAATATTATTAAATAATAATAAAAAATATCTCATTTTTCAAATTTTCTTTTTGACCCTCTAATTTTCCAAAATTTTATTTTAGTCACTAAATTGCACTATTTCACTTTATAGTACAATTCTCACCAAATTCCACCAATCCAACTTAAATTCCACTAATTATAAATATCCATATAAATTTTTTCAACTAAGATCTACCATCTTTCAAATTTTTGTAATCTTCCAATTCGATCCGATTATCTGAATAATATATCGATCTTTGTCCTTTAATAAACTTTTATACAAACTTCATATCAAAATTCTGAAACCCACTAAACTGATTGTCTTGGGCAGAATTACTTATTTATAGATCCAAAATATAACTTTTAAAAATTTACATTTTTAGTTCCTAAACTTTTTCAATTTTACACTTTAGTCCCTAAATTTCTAAAATTTTCAT